TCTCCCCCTCTCATGCTCTGGTGCTCTCTCTCTCAAAAATAAAATAAACATTGAAAAAAATGCACGATAATTAGGTGAAGTCTAGACCACTCCCACCATCGTATCTAAGGCTTTGGGACAAAAGGAACAGAGAAGTAACAAGGGAGGGGATATAAACCAGCTTTGCAAGGGGCTTTCTGCTCAGGCAGAGTGTGTTTTAGGGTCTTAAACCTAGGCTGTAGCTGAAGAATCTAGAGACTTGAGAACACATGCTCTATCATCCCTAGTTGAAGTTCAGTCCCTCAGCAGCAAAACCCCTGGGAAGTATTTGCCTCAGGTTGTATTTGTAAACAAGTAGGACAACAGGAATATAGTGGAACTATCTTAAGTAGTGAAATGTTTTTTTCTTTTCTTGTTGTTGTTGATGGTGTGTGTGTATGTGTGTAAACCCATGAAGGGCCTGCGCTTCTCGTGTTGGTGCATCAATGTTCCATCTAGCCTGAAGACACAGACTAGAGTGAAACATTAGGAAGGGCAAGGGAGTGTTTTCCATGGTTTTGATCATGTCATTCCATGCTTAAAAGGTTCTCATGGCTCCTTAATGTGAGGAAGTATGCTAAAGTAATGAAATATTTTGGTACTGGGCCAAATATGTGCTTATTCAACATAAAAATAAACAAATATGACAATGGATTATAATCCTGTGTACAAGGACCCCTCTCCAAGACCACCCTCACACTCAAAATAAATAAGTATGGGGGCGCCTGGGTGGCTCAGTCGGTTAAGCGTCCGACTTTCGCTTAGGTCATGATCTTGTGGTTCATGGGTTCGAGCCCCGTGTCGGGCTCTGTGCTGTCTGCCAGCTCAGAGCCTGGAGCCTGTTTCAGTCTGTGACTCCCTCTCTCTCTGACCCTCCCTTGCTCACGTTGTCTCTCTCTCTCTCCTAGAAATAAATAAAACATTAAAATAAATAAATAAATACCAAATTTATAAAATAAATAAATAAATAAGTATGGCAACAAATTATTAATCCTACGTTTTAAATCAATAAATATCATAACAGATAATGACCCTCCCCAAGAACACCCTCATGTTCGATAATATAGGAACTCAAAAGTCAGAGAAGTTGTTATACTGATGGCTATAGTTTATTACAGTGAAAGTATACAGATTAAAATTGGCAATGGAAAAAGGCACCTAGTGCAGAGGATAAGGGAGACCAGGTGCAAGCTTGTAGTGTCCTGCCCAGTGGAGTCCTGTGGGCATTAATCAGTGAAGTATTGCCAACTAGGGAAGCTCACCTGAGCCTTGGTGTCCAGGGTTTTTACTGGGCGTAGGTCACATAGACATGGCTGACTGCCCTGGTGGCTGACGTTAATTTTCCAGCCCCTCCAGAGGTCAAGCCGATACTGTGTGGTCCAAAGACCCCCACCATAAATCACATCATTAGCGTGTCTGGTATGAACCAAGGCTTCAGGTAAACAAAGATACTCTTAATGGGCAGGGCATTCCAAGTGCTTAGAAGTTACTGCCCTGGAACCTGGCAAGGACCAAATCTTTCTTTGCAATGTACAAACTGTCCAGTTTGGACAAACTGGACCTGTTTAGTTAATCCTTTACTACACAAATTCATTGAATGAAATAAGAATCCATGAGTCTGTACTGAAATAGATAAGGAAAATTCATTCCTGTGGAATAATGATAACTAGCGATTACAGAATAAATGATGGAGTTAGAAAAATTACTATTTGGTAAATATAATAGTTGTTTCAAGAAAAGAATCATTAGTGGAGGCAGCACTGAGTTAATTGGTGACCCCCTAAAGGTTTTGTGTTCATGTTCCAATCCTCAGAACATGTGAATATGATCTTACTTGGTAAAAGGGTCTTTGCAGATGTAATTAAATTAAGGATCTTGAGATGAGATCATCCTGGATTACCCAAATGGGCCCTAAATCCAATGGCAAGTGCTCTTATAAAAAACATAAGAAAAGGGGTACCTGGCTGTCTCAGTCAGAAGAGCAACTCTTAAAAAAAGAACAACTCTTGATCTCCAGGTCATGGGTTCAAGCCCCATGTTTTAGTAGAGATTACTAAAAAAATAATAATAATAAATAATAAAATAAAATAAACCCCAAAACATGAGAAGACAACTATACAGAAGAGAAGGACTTGTAAAGACTGAGGCAGAGATTGGAGTTCTGTGGCCACAACCCAAGGAATGCCACCAGAAGCTGGAAGAGGAAGAGACGATTTCTTCTCTAGAGCCTTCAGGGGGCGCACACAGCCCAGCAGACATCTTGATATCAGACTTCAGAATTTTAAGACCATAAATTTCTGTTGTTTTAAGCCAGATAGTTTGTGATCATTTGTTGCAAAAGCCACAGAAACTAATGCAGAAGCTAAAAACAGTGGTAAAAGAATAATGCTTCAGAAATTTACATAGTCTTAAAGTACCCACAAGATACGTATTATTATAAGTTTTTTTTAATGTTTACTTTTTTTGAGAGAGAGAGACCGTGCAAGTGGGGTAGGGACAGAAAAAAAGGGAGACACAGAATTGGAAGCAGGCTCCAGCCTGGCTCTGAGCTTTTAGCACAGAGCCCTATGTGGGGCTTGAACTCACAAACTGTAAGATCAGGACTTCAGCCAAAGTCACCAACTGAGCCACCCAGGTACCCTGATGTGTATTAATTAGAAAGGAAAATATAGTAACTCTTCAGTGAAGAAACTTGGCAGGACCAAGCTTATGGAGTTTTGGAGTCAAAAAAACAGCTGGCTTGAAGCTTCACTTGCACCATCATCAATTTGTAACTTAACTTCATTATGCCTCAATTTCCTGTAAAATGGAGATAATAAAAACCAACCCACATCTTAAGGATATTTTGAGGATTAAATGTAACAATCTATGTAAAGCCCATAGCACAGGACCTAGCACATATGTATTCAATATTTATTAGTTATTCTTTTTTTTTTAAGATTTTATTTTTGAGTTCTCTACACCCAAAATGGAGCTTGAATTCACAACCCCAATATCAAGGGTGGTACAGTCCAACAACTGAGCAAGGCTGGTGCCCCTATTTATTGGTTACTTTGATGAGAATAGCTATCATCTACAGAATGAGGTTTAAATTTCCTATAATCTATTCAAGAAGATAAAAGATACATTCAACGAAAGACTTCATGATCAGGCCATACCCCTATCTTTCCAGCTCATACTTAAATTGTTCTTCATCCCAGACCTCCTGTTCTCCTATTCAACCTTCCTTTTTTCAACCCCTCATCAGTTAAGCCATTCACCAGAGCCTGAGTCCATCCATATCCATAGCTCAGACCATTACTTACACATAAAAAACTGATGAGCAAGTATGCTTCTTGAAGTTCTGCTATTGAGAGGAATGCACCTCATCACTGTCTTTCAATGACACCCCTGAGTGAGGCTGTGGCTTCCAAAGAAGCAGGATCTTCTGACTCCCTAGCTATCTCCCTGATGGATATGACAGGCAATAGAGAGCAGTCAAAGATGACTGATAGGGTTAAGCCCCAGAGACAGAGAAAATAATAGTGGGACTTACTGTATTTCTGATGTCTTAATTTCTGATGCTGACCTAAGGGACTGAAATTAGGGCTGCCCTGGCAAAGATGGGGCTTATAGTTCCCAATGCCAGAAAAGAAAGGAAAAATGAAAAACTAACCAAGCCAACTCCCCTCATCAATCCACTTCCCACAGACATACTACTGATATTCTCGGTAAAACCACAAACTTGACCTCCTTGGATCTTTCCAGTTAGCAGTTGGTCTGTTTATAACATTAAAATATATGAACTTATTGGGGCACCTGGGTGGCTCAGTCAGTTGAGCATCTGACTTCGGCTCAGGTCATGATCTCACAGTTTGTGGGTTCAAGCCCTGTGTCAGGCTATGTGCTGACAGCTCAGAGCCTGGAGCCTGTTTCAGATTCTGGGTCTCCCTCTCTCTCTGCCCCTCCCCCACTCGTGCTCTGTCTCAAAAATAAATAAACTATAAAAACATATATATATGAACTTATTGACTGCCTTTCCCAACAAACTAATGAGTAAGGCTGCCTCAGTGGAGATGGAGTTCCATTGTTCCTTCCTCCACCTGATTGCCTCCATCAACTTAAAGCAAGTGGCTGAACGCTGGGCCTCAGTTTCCTCAACAACAAATTAAGGGTGATGAACTACTCAGTGTAACTTCAAGCTTCCTAGAAGTTGAAATGTTTTGTGATTTTCTAATGGTATGGGAGGAAAGCCGGGAAATGTGAGGACACTGTTCATGATATATTCTGAGGCATTAATAACTCCTAGAGAATAAACTCAGAAGGAAATGAAGATTGAGGTGAGGAAGAGGAAAGACTCCTTCTAAAGTGTAAGATTTCAATTTAATTTGTGACCACACTGCCTTTGATTTCATTGATTTTTCAGAACTTGCTCCCCAATTTTAGAATTGAGATAGAAATAGTGGGCAAAGGAACATCACATATGGTGACAGAGGAATATTATTTTTAAAATACTCACCAAAAATTTCTCTTATTTTCTTTTCTGATTTATGTGACATAAATAAACTACATAATGGTGCGAGAGACTATAAAGGTTTTATTACCACTTGTTTGGTATTGGTTGCATAACTCATTCTGAGTTGTGGGTATCTCAAACTAAGTGCCGTAAAACATTTACAGCATGCCGCCCCACTTCCTACACTTTCCGTGAAGACAAAACTTTAGTGCTCACAAAAATACTTATAAATGTAATAGTTAGTAGTGAGAACTTTCTTCTTTTATTTGGATTACAGATCTCTAGTCTGTAGCAAGAAAAATAAAATGTTGTAAGGAAGATTTATGTTACTTCTCCGCAGGATCTCAGATTATCTGGCAAATTCCTTCCCCAAGGAAAACTACTTTTCAAAGAAACCCTCAGTAAATGCATACTGGAATTAACATAAAATTGGCAAGATCACTTGTGTCTACACGTTGGAATTCATTTGTAAATAACGACTACTCACTTCCTTGCTTTCCCACCCCGGACCAGACTCCCAAGCATCACAGGTGCCGAAAGACCTAGAAAAAGGAAGCAATAGAAACAAAAGGATGTTGGCGCCAGGAAGAAAACAGAATCTCCCAGAACAAAAATAATCTCAGAAGGAATAGCAGATTCGGTATCAGGTATTACTGAAATTTAAACTGATTCCTAAAATGGTGAACAGCGATAGTTTTATTTACTAGGTCTTCTACTATGCCTGTCTGTTTAAACCTTTAAGCTTATCTTGAGGGGCAGATTTTGGGTGCTAACCACGTAATAGTTATTAAACTAGTATTTATTTTTTTTAAGGGTGATGGTCAATAAATATAAACTTTAACTTTACTGTTTAACTTTTACTTTATGCCTTAAGAACCAAATGACTTCTAGGATCCCTAAAGTTGACTATTCATGAGTTATAGAAGAAACACAGCTCTGATTTAACACAGATCTTCAAATAATCATTAAATTAACCACTGCCAAACAGCGTGAAGGTCAGGTAAGAAATGTTTGGGTAGAGTCTTGCTGAAGTCCCAAGACTCAAACAAAAAACTTCAACACAAACTGTGCACAGTGAGTTTAAATATATTGTAATTAAAGTCATCCAGATGGTAGTTGGATTAGTCAATGAAGAGGCAGTATTTACCTTGGGATAGAAGATTCTGAAATCCAGAATGAGAAAAATCCCTAAGGTGGGGGTGGGGACAGTTAATAAGAACCCCTGGGAAAGGTCCTTTCAACGAGGATTGGAAAATAATACGTTTGAATTTGAATCTCTTTGAATATAAATCTCCCCTAACAGCAGGAAAAGGGTCCTCTAGCCCAGTAAGCTTTGTGCAGGAAGGGAGTAAACGGAACTGTAAAACAGCCCGCTCAGCTGTTTCTGGTTTGGGACTTGGGCGCAGAGAAAGAAATCGCGATGTGGGAAATGAGTATTTGAGACACTCAAAATAACTCGAAGGGTCAAATAACGAACTCCAGGCAAAGCGTTGACAAGCCTCCCCCTTTGCAGCACCTACTCTGGGTTTCCGCTCAATTTCCCCTCCCTCGCGCGAGGCGAACTGCAGACGCGGCCCCTTCCCACGCGGGGCGCGGCGAGCGTGGACAGCTCCCCTTGGAGCAGCCGAGGGCGGGAAGTCCGCGGCCCGCTGGCTACCGCGGGCGGGCACCCCTCCGGGTGCCCGAAGCCGGCTGGCCCGGCAGGCCTCGAGCCTTCTCCGCTTCGGCTGGCCAGAAAGAGGCGGCCGGTGGCGGCAGAGGCCTCGCGAGCCGCCCGTCTGGCCCGCGAGCCGCGAGCGCGGGGCGCCGAGGGGAGGCGGGGCGAGGCCGCGGGGCGGAGGGGGGCGGGAGGTGCATCCTGGGAAATCCACCAACATGGGGCGAAGCGGCCACCGCCGCCGCCGTGAGTCCTGGTCGCGGATGCCGCCGCTTCCCTGACGCCCAGCTGGGGCCTCGCGGCGCGCCGCGGCCTGGGTTCCCCTGGCAGAGACCGGCCAGCGCGCCCTCCGCCCGTCCTCCCGCCAGGGCCATGTGAGGGGGCAGCTCCCTCCGCCGCCGCCTCCTCCTCTTCCTCCCCCCGCCCCCTCCCTCCCCTCCCGCCCCCCTCACACTGGGCCCTAGAGGAGCCCCCACTGCTGCCCGCCCTCCCTACGCAACCCCCACGATGGACAGGAACTACGCGACCTCCGGCTTCGCGGACCCGCCGCCGCCGCCCGCGCCCCCCGCTGCCCCAGCCACCGCCAGCGCCGCCGCGCCACCCCCCGCCCCCGCCTGGGCCTACGAACCCCGAGCCGCGGCCGCCGCGGCCGCCAGCAGCAGCTGCAGCAGCGGCAGCAGCCCCAGCCTCAAGGCCAGGTAGGGAGGGTGGGCGGCGGGGTCGTCGTGGGCCAGGAAAGGCCGGGGATGCGTTTGGGGCCTTCGCCCCTGTGCAGCGCCGCCCAGGGGTCCGGGCCGGGCGGGGAGCCTTCCACTCTTCTCCCCCATGCCCGCGTCGGGAGAGGCTGTTGATGACTCTTCTGAGGTGGTCTTGGAGTGGGTGGGGGCGCCCAGGGCAGGATTCGCGCCTGGGGCTCCTTGGGGACTGTGAGTAAAAGGGAAGGCTGGGCGGGAGTCGTGGGTCTCCGTCACCTCGCGGGTCTTGGGCTCTCTCACATGGTGAAGTTTGGGTTCGTGCCTAAACTCGGCGATCAGGGAGACCCGGGACTGGCTCCGAGGGGCTAAGAGGGGCTCTGAGGAGTTCCGGGCAGTGACATTCCATTGTACTCAAACGGACAATGTGGTTGGGGACCCCGGCAGTGTGAGGGTGGGGGAGGCGCGAAAGGAAGAGGCGTCGCTGTGTCCCTGACATTGGGGGACCCGGGAGGACTGGACTGCTGGAGAACCCCTGGGGCGTGGGGCCCGGGAGGGGGCCTGGAGGGGCGCGAAAGCTGCGAAGGGGCTGGGTGACATATGTTTGCAGCGGTGGCCAAGATTAAGCTTTTTCTTTTCCACGCGTTCAAAGTTACTGTTGGGTTTCCTCCCCTTTTAACAACAGCAGGAAGTAAGGGATCTTTTTTGCATTCTGTATCTTGGGGTGACTAAGAGTTGGGAAGAAATTGGAGCGGGGGTCAGCGAAGGCCATAAAGGTTGAAGAACAGAAGCATGCTTCTCCGTCTCGGCTTCTGAAACCCTGGTTCATTATGTAGCGCGGGGTTCAAGAGTTCATCCTTGCTCCATCATGACCAAGAGAATCCAAAATGTTGGCTCTTACTAGATATTTAAGCTCGCGAGAAATGTGTAGTAGTGCCACACTGTGAAATGGTCCATTTGAATGATAACTGAAGGCGTGGTCTGCTTTGGACGATTCGGGAGCGGGGTGTTTTAAAGCCACCTCTGCCGAACAATGCAGAATCTGGTAGGTGCAGCTTCTGATTACAAGGACCAGGGAATCCTGGGTTGCTAATGACTTCATCCTCAGCTACCAACAGGAAGCTTCGTGGCTTTATGATCTCATCAGATTTCTTCACTATTGTCACAACAGAAGTGAACTTTTTTTTACTTTATATATTGCAGTGTTCTAGGTTATCTTCTTTGTTTTTATGAAAGTTCCACGTTCATGATTTGGAAAATAATGTGTGAAGAATAGCTGGTCTTTTGTCTTAAATACTAGCTCGGGATGATTGTGAGAGAATGAGAAAATTTTGGTTCAAGAAAAGGGAAATAAGCTTTCTTAGAAAATTTTAGGTCCTTTGTTTAAAAGAGCTGGGATTTTAAAAAGAATAATAATGTGATGTGCCAATTTGGAGCTAAATAATTGCTGAAACTTTTCAGAAATAGTCATAACTTTGTATTATGTACAATTAAGACATTGCAAGGAGTTTTATGAAAGATGTTTGGCACTTTTCCCATTAATTTTTTTATGCTAATTTGACTATCGTTTTTCAAGTAGCTTTTGCAATGAGTATGATAATTTACAAATTAAAATTACTTTCTCTTCAGTGAACAGTAATGATAGGTATTTATGTAGCATTCTTTATGTTTTAAATGAAAAGTGTTTTATTAGGTAAATGGAACAATTTCTACCTAGTTATTTCTGTTGTTTCTTTTAGCAGAATACTTCTGAGGCAAGAAACTAAAATCTACTTGTCATATTTTCCAAATGTTATTTATCAAAGTAACAAAGAATGACTTCCCAAACACATTTGAAAACAGTAAGTAGATTCATTTGGGACACATAATCTAAAAGAGATTTATTTTCTGTTTTTTGGAAGTTATTGATTCTTAACTGCTAAGCACCCCCCTTTAAAAATATGTATTTTGGGGGTGGAGTCAACTAAATTTTACATAGAAAATGCAGGCTTTCCCCCTCCCCCACCAACTTGCTTTGTTAACATCTTGTGTTAGGATCAGGCCATCTGTACAGGGCTATGCACACTTCTTAATTGTACCTCATTTTATTCTTCAAATTGTGCAATGTCCTCTTTCATTTCAGTTATATAGAAAATACTGAATCTGAAATATGGCCTGTAAGTCTTCAGGTATTTTGCATTTTCGGAAGCCTGTTCATATTTTTATAACATTTTAGAACTCTTTTTCATAATTTATATAACAGTTGAATGTTTTTGTTCCCCTTTGCGGCAGTTTCTTCTTGAAGGTGCAAATGAGTACTAGTGTGATGATATGATATGGATTCTTATCCATAAAGAATTAGTCTGTCACCTTGTTTCCACTAACTTATTCAGAAGTGAACAGATGGTAATGACATTCAGTTGCTACTGACATGGGATCTAGCATCCTACTTTGTGTCTTTGCTTAGTCCCGAAATGGAGCATTTTCATCAGTTGATGGGAAAGAACATTGTAAACAATTCTGCATTACTTTGAAGTAATACTTTTTTGGCATAACAGTTCCATCAAATATGAGATTTCTCTTGTTTTAACAATTAAAAAATATAGAGCTAATGGGAAACTCCAGCCTTTTACCTTTGGGCATATAGAGAGTTTTCTAAATATTTCTGAATATGTCTGAAATACTTGTGAAGTAAATGGGAAATTCAGGGACAAAAATTGGTCTCATAAATCTCCATTTTTTGTGTGTGCTCTTCTCCATTAGTTTTAGGGTCCGAATGGACATATCTTGCCCTATCATCATGCATTTGGAAATACTTTTCTGTGGGGCTGTCTTAGATACTGTTAATACCTTTGCATACTTCTGGAAATAAGATGATCATCAGGAAACTGCAGACCTGCTGCCTTTTCTCTTGTTATGTCTTGTACAGAGCATCGAGAGGCAGTTTTCATCATAGTGATGATAGATATGTTTGTGTTTGAATGTGTACCAGAAAGTGACTCAATAAAAATGCTTTGTTTAAAGTAGGTTTATATCTTTTTGTAACTTTGTCAGTCTATTTTTTTGCCACCAGTTTTTAAAAATTTCCTCATATATAAGTTCTTTCTGATTATAGTATGAATGTGTAATGAGTAGGGATAGGTACCCCTCCAAAAAACAGAAAAATAATTAGCTTAAAACTGGTCAACTACTATCTTGAGGACTTTGGGCAAGTTTTAAATCTAGAGTTTCTCTCAAGGCTTTTGGAAAAAGGCCTCGTAAGATCACAGTTTATGAGTAGAGAAAATCCCAAATTAGCAAAAGCTTATTGCAAACAAACTTTTGTTGTTCAGACAGTATTTTCTCATAGAGACAATGTTGTAAGTAATAATAGATATATTTACTGAACTAATTTGTCCTACTTACTGTTTTAAGTGATACATATGTGCATGCATGCACATACACACTTAATCTTAACAGTCCTTTGAGGTAGATATTATTTTTACCATTTGTAAATGAGGAAACTAAGGCATAGAGACATAGACATAAAGTATAACTGAAAGTATAATTAAGTATAATATATTTATAGCCACTTAGCTAGTAAGTAGGGGAGCTGGGATTTAAACCTGAGCATTTTGTTTAATTCCTATACTGCACTATTTCATGGTAAGATAGTCTACCAATGTAATCTGCCTATGTTATGGGTTAAAAGAGCTTTTATGGCTGGTCTAGAAACCTACCATCTTTAGTATCCTGATTTCAGTGTTCATGTCACCATTGACCTTTTAAAAATGTGCTTCTTAAAAAATTTTTATTTTATTTTATAATGTTTATTTTTGAGAGAGAGAGAAAGTGCAAGCAGAGGAGGGGCAGAGAGAGAAGGAGACACAGAATCTGAAGCAGGCTCCAGGCTCTGAGCTGTCAGTACAGAGCAATGCAGGGCTTGAACCCGTGGACCATGAGATCATGACCTAAGCTGTAGTTGGATGCCCAACCGACTAAGCCACCCAGGAGCCCTGAAACATGCTTTCTTTTACTTTCATAGCACTGTGCTTTGTTGGTTTTCCTCTCACTTTTCTAACCCACTGCTTTCCCCTGTTCTTCACCAATTCTTCCTCTTGTAATCTCTACATGTTGTTGCTTTCTCCGGACTTTAAACTGATATGATTTCTTGTGCTTTCTCCTGAGGATAATTACATCCATGCTATGACTTTTTTTTTTTTAAAGTTTATTTATTTATTTTTGAAAGAGAGAAAGAGAAAATGAGCTGGGGAGGGAAAGAGGGAGAGAATCCATAGCAGACCCACAGTGTCAGTGCAGAGCCCGATGCAGCGCTCAGCCCCACAAACCGTGAAATCATGACCTGAGCTGAAACCAAGAGTCAGAAGCTTAACTGACTCAGCCACCCAGGCGCCCTATGACTTTAAATACCATCTCAGGGGATGCCTATGTATATGTCTAAGGCCCAAACCTGTTCTGATCACCTAATCACATAACCAGCTATCTCTCTGAGCTTTTACTTGGGTATATAATGACCATTTAGGGATGAACTCATGCTCTCCCCACCTATTCCACTGCTTCTTCTCTAATGAGGCCTGTCTCAGGAAGTCACTTTTGTCCATCTAGTTGCCCAGGTCAACCTGGGAGTTATGTGTGCTCAGTCACCAATCCCTACTGCTTTTTTATCTCTCAAATATATCTTGAAATTGTCTACTTCTTTGTACTTCTTTCCCTTCCACTGATCCAAGCCACCATTATTTTTCACAATAACTGCAGTCTGCTCCAAACTAAATAATCTTGAGCCTTTTCTTCCTTCAGTTAGCTCTTCTAGAATTCAGACTGTTTTTTTTTAAACATAAATTTACCAGTTCAATCATGTTGCTCTTTTGCTTTATAAAACCTTTCCATGGGTACCCCTGCATCTTAGGATCAAGTTGTTGTTGTTGTTGTTGTTGTTTTTAATGTTTATTTTTGAGAGAGACAGACAGAGTGTGAGCAGGGGAGGGACAGAGAGAGAGGGAGACACAGAATTCAAAGCAGGCTCCAGGCTCTGAGCTGTCAGCACAGAGCCAGATGCAGGGCTTGAACCTACAAACCGTGAGATCATGACCTGAGCCGAAGTCAGACACTCAACCCACTGAGCCACCCAGGCGCCCCTCAAGTTTTAAAAATTTATAAAATGACATATATGGCCCTGCATTTACTAGCCCATTTTAAATTCCTTGGGCCATTCTAAATTCCTTCCTACCTTAAAAACTTTCATACGTGCTGTTACCTCCACCTAGATAACTCACCCTTCCCCACCCCTTTACCTGTCCTCTTAAGGTATTTATGTCAGAAATCCACTGCCTTCCATCCTGTGTTGTTTTGTGCAATGGTATATATGTTTTCACAGTACATTTTACTGTACTTTATTTTATTTTTTTTAATGTTTTATTTATTTCTAGGGGAGAGAGACAGAGAGAGAGAGAGAGACAGCGTGAGCAGGGGAGGGTCAGAAAGAGAGGGAGTCACAGACTGAAACAGGCTCCAGGCTCTGAGCTGGCAGTCAGCACAGAGCCCGACGCGGGGCTCGAACCCACAAACCGCGAGATCATGACCCAAGCGAAAGTTGGATGCTTAACCAACTAAGCCACCCAGGCGCCCCCATTTTACTGTACTTTAATGTAATTCTTAGGACTATGGTCATATATCTATATGCTATTTATGTAATAGATACCCTCCTCTTTAGAATCGAAGTTCTTTGAGGGTCACTGTTTTGCATACTGCTGTATATCTAGTACTTACTCTAGTGTCGGGCATATAGGTGGTGCTTAATACATATTTATGACACGAAAGCCTGAACTCTTGAGTTAGTGTGGGAATTAGAAGCCCATTTCTTCCTGCTGCAGCTTCTACTGCTCAACCCTGTAATAGGAACCAAGACGAAGGGCTTAGGATGTTTGTGATTATCATTGGTTAGAAGTGAGGATGTAGGCTGCTGCTTGCTTTCTACCTTTCCTTGCTATGCTGTCTGGAACAATGAATACTAAAATGTATCTAGCAAAACTTAGTCCATTTTTTCATTCACTAAACAAATATTTGAGTGCCCACAGTACACTAGACACTGTTGTCTTTATTCCTGGTGTTATATATTTCTTCAGTGAAAACTTGAGAAATCATTCAGTCATTCATTAGAATGTATTGAGCATCTTTGAGTTTTTGTTACTGAGCTAAGTTCTATGGGCTACCCAAAAAATGAAAAAGACACTACCCTACCTTTCAAAGAACTTATTTGTGATCCAGAGAGGAGACAGGGTAATGTCACCTTGCTGCCTCTCTCCTTGGCTTCTAAATATTGAAGTGCCCAGGGGCTTGGCGTTCTATCCTTTTTCCTTCTCTCCTCACTTACCCTAGGTGAAGTTTCCATGCACATCATTTAACTTTCAAATATATATGGCTATTTTCCTATCTAGTTACCTGCCTCCCCATCATCTCCACTTGGGTATTGGGTAGGCATTTCAAACATAGTATGTCCAAAACAGGGTTATCGTCCTAACCCCCCAACCTGGTCCTCCTTTAACCTTCCCCAACCTCTGTAAATACCACTTGCTTAGTAGTGCTGGCCCAAAGACTGGAGCCATCTGTGATTCATTTCTTTCCCCCCTATTCATCCCCTCGGTAAATCCTGTTGGTTTGATCTCCATATCCATAATTTCCCACAGGACTATTGCAGTTCCTCCTATTGCTTTCCTTGCTTCCACTCCAGCCCTTCTAGAGTTTATTAAACTTGCAACAGCCAGTTAACATTGCAAAATATAAATCAGGTAATGTTGTTACCCTGCTTAAAACCTTCCATTGTTACTCAGAGGAAAATCCAAAGTCCTATCATGGCCTACAAGGCCCTGTGTGATCTGAGCCTCAGCTCATTCTCCAACCTCATTATTCTACTCCCTGTACCATCCTTCAGCCATTCTGGCTTTATGTCTGTTCCTAAAACATGGAAAGATTATTTGTGTCCTAGGAATTTTGCACTGGCTGTTCTCTTTATCTGGTATTCTCTTCACAGGTCTTTGCTTTGCCACTTCTTCTGGACATTCAGGTCCTCTCCCAGATGTTACTGCCTCATAAAGTCTTTCTTTGACTAAGCTATCTAAAGTAACCTCTCATCATTGCATCATATCATAGAGTTTTATTTTCTTCATAGCATTATCACTGTCTGAAGTAATTTTGTAGATTTATGTGTATTATTTGTTACCACCCTTTCCTCATCCCTCTACCACTAATAGAATGCATGTTCCATGAAGACACGGATCTTGTCTGTCTTGTTCACCTCAGAAGACAGCTTAGAGATGGGGTGCCTGGGTGGCTCAGTCGGTTAAGCATCCAACTTCAGCTCAGGTCATGATCTCACAGTTTGTGGGTTCAAGCCCCACATCAGGCTCTGTGCTGATGGCTCAGAGCCTGTTTCAGATTCTGTGTCTCCCTCTCTCTCTGCCCCTTCCCCACTCATTCTCTGTCTCTCAAAACTGAATAAATGCTAAAAAAAAATTAAAAAAAAAAAAAAAAAAGCTTAGAGTAGTGGTTGATAGCGTAAATTCTGAAGTCAGATTTTGGGGATTATAATTTGACTCTACTTGCACTATGATCTTAAATAAGTTTCTTAATCTATATGTGCCAGAGTTCCTTGTATAAAATGAGCATATTTTCTTTTATTTATTTATTTATTTTTAGAAAATTAAAAAAATTTTTTTTAATGTTTAGTTATTTCTGAGAGAGACAGCGAGAACAGGGGAGGGTCAGAGAGAGAGGGAGATAAGAATCTGAGTAGGCTCCAGGCTCTGAGCTAGCTGTCAGCACAGAGCCCGACGCGGGGCGTGAACCCACAAACTGTGAGATCATGACCTGAGCCGTGAGCCAAAGTTGGACCCCCAACCAACTCAGCCACCCAGGCACCCCGAGCATATTTTCTTTTAAAGTTTATTATCATTATTTTTTTTGTGTGTGCACGCATGTGCATGAGAGAGAGAGTGAGAGAGAGTGTGAGAGTGAGCATAAGTGGGGGAGT